CTCACTCGCACAGAACAGAAGGCTAACCCAAGTGCTACGGTGACAGAACGATCAAAACCTAATCACAATATTCCACAATTAATACCGCACAACCACAAATTCACAGTAAAATCATCATCAGCACTATCCCTAATCACAGTGCTATTTCTATCAATCTCCACATAACCGGACATCTCCAAATTCATTCTTATATCACAAACTAAACCTTTAAATCCTCGTTAATTGTTAACCCTCGGTGTGTGAACAGCGCCTATGAACAGTACCTCATGAACAGTAACTTCAACTTCCAAAATTAGCAAAACATAGCTAATTCACGGGGTTTCACACAATTAACCTCACAACAACCAAATTAAGCTAGTTTCTACATGAATTAAACAAAACTCATGCTTAGAGGTTGCCAAACTTCCTCCCCTCTTTCAGCAGAATTTCGGACAGCAATGGGCAATTCAAAAGCAAAACCCAATCAACACAAGGCAACAATTACATGGATAAATTGGACTTGGGAGCCGGCAACTTACCAGAATTCCAGCCAGCAGAACCCGAGCTTGGCTGGTGAGGAAGTCGACGGGACCCATAGGGGAAAACTCACGGCTACCTCAATCCAAAAACCAAAACACAATTCAAGGTAAACCCAAGCCTAAATCAAGAGGGAAAAGGGAGATTCAGGGCTGTTCTTACCGAAAAATGCCCAGAAATTTCAAACCCACAAGTTGAAGCCGACGGACAGCAGAGGGAGGAAGACGCAGATCTGGGATTTTCTAGGTTCAACAGGTGTTCTAAGACAAGAAAATAGGGAGAAATCCCCAAGCTTTGCCGGATTTCCGGCTGGAAATGGGTGGCGGTAGTTGGGGGGCTTCTCGGGTGCAGAGGGTCGGGGGGCAGAGCATCGGGGAGAAGAAGAAGATGAGGATGAGCAAAACACGTGGCTGAGGACAAAAAATATCAGCCTTGATCCTTATCCAAATTTCCTTTCTTTTTAGTCCTTCGACTTTTAAATATTTTACGATTAAGCCCCAAAATAATATTTTTCCTCAAATAAATCCCTTATTTAATGCTAAAATATCCCCAAAATTTTGGGATATTACAAATACAATTAGCAATGTGCACAACAATGTCAGTGAACATACTGATGTGGATAATAATACCAAGGTAAGGTTACCAGATCGATCACTAGAATCCAACAGCCTGTACAATAACTCAATCCACATCGATAAATATTAAACAATTCACCAACCTGTAAAGCCATGCTAACTAACGGTCGAAAAAAATAAATAAATGCACTTCACTGATATAATATGTATTGATGTTATCAATCCTACATAGCACCAACAAAATTCATTTTATTGTACAATTCAGCAACTTTCTAATATCCTAATCAATTTTTTTCCACAATCAATTCCAAAACAGTTTATTTTAGACAGATGTCAGTTAATATAACTCAAAAAACAATAAAAATTTAGTTATAATATATAACAACAGAAAAAGAAAAAATTTCAGAATGTTTTGCATGAATTTCAATCAATACTATATGATTTTCAACACAATACATAAGTAAACATAAAATAATATATTCAATTGAATCTTCCAAATTAATTAAATATTTTTTTACCCACCAAATCACTGAAGTTTATTAATTATCAGGGAAAAAAAAGGGTTAATGCCATCTATCATCCCTCTACTAATTTAAACCTTCTACAATCCATTTCTCTCATGTCCTCCCTTTACTATTAATTAATTTCACTTGTCCTCCCTCTACAATGCAAAAACATGCCAATGTCATCCCTCCGTCCAATTTAAGCTAATGGCATTGTTAATTGACCGTTCAAGTGCAAACGGTTACACGTTTAGGCCTTTTTTAATCCTTTTCTTTTCACTCATCCTTGTGGGCTCCACCCTTACCACATCATCTCTCACAGCATGAACTTGGCCTTGGCCTTCGTTTTACGACCTTAATCTTCATCTTCCAGGAAAACGGGGGTGTCCAGCCCATTGGCTATTCCTCTTACGACCTTAATCTTTGTCTTCCAGGATAACGGGGATCGCCAATCCGCCAATCTGCACTCCTGTGATGACGTGTCGTGTAGCCATTGGTCCACACTTCCTTTGTCGAGAAACTTATAGAGAAGAATCCGATCATGACCAGTCGAACAGTAACCCAAAATCTGATGCAAATAAAATGAAAGATAGGTGAGAAAAATAAGGAAAGCCCCAATTAGCTATCTTCTGCCACCAACTTTAGTGGTTATGGAGTAAGAACCTGCTGCTCAGCATCATCAATTGGAGGCTTCTGTGGCTATTGATGATGAGGAACCTGTGATTGAATCCATGGAGTATGTTGAGACCAATATTCCAAAAAAGCAGGAGACTCAGTTGGCTGCCAATTTGGATGAAATGGCAATGCAAGCTCCACATAAATCTCCTCAGATTCTATCTCACCTCCAGCCAGCACATTTGAAAATGGAGTCAATTGATAGGGCATGGAATCTGTTTAATGAAATGCTTGAGGGAAGTTTTTGGACTAAAATTCTAAATATTTGTTTAGGATGTGGGTAAAAGGTTGCTGAAGAGTCCACCACTGTTTCAAATATGTTGAAGCTGAGTGGAATGATGAAGGGATACAAGGAGCAACTTAATGTCTTATTCCCAGATCCAGGTATAATTGTTATTTACGCCTTAAGTTTGTATTTGCATAGTAGTAGAGACTATAATAATCTAGCTCAGCTTATCTTCAAGTAAAAGATTATTTTGGATGTAAATCAAAACCTATAGAATTATGTCCAAGGCCTTGGTGAGCTGGGAGCTTATGAATTGAGTAGCAGGATGTTTAAGATTGAGTCTTTGAGTGGTGTAGTGAAGCTAAAAAATAATGAATTCTTGAATTCTTATGACTTAGTTTCATTAGGTTTGAAATTTGACAATATTGCTTAGAATGTGGCTGAAGTAACTGTGGCAGTGAATCTTTTGGAGATACTTTCCTTAAAAACTATTAGTATCTTTGGTTTCTTTTTGCTGGTTATTAATGAGATGGAATCTTGTTTTGTGACTGGTTATCTTGATACTATAAAAAACACTAGGCAGGGCATTTCAGGAATGCCACTTATACTTGTTTTCAGAGATTGTTTCCACCATGCTTCTCCTACTACTGTAGGAAATCTTCTAATGAGCTCAACTATGGTGTTGGTCCTCGTTTTAGACTTCTATTTTGCACCTAGATATGGGCATATAATTGTGTTGGTTTCGAAAAGAACAGTAAAAGCTTTGATGGAGAAGAAGTTGAATCCAGAAATTGATTTTTATGTTTTATTGCATCCTCATGCCCCTAATTCAAGCTCCAGGACTGACAACAACCATCTAAAAGGAACATTCAAAGAAGATATTATTCTGATGATTGTTGGTGGCAATTATGGGAAATTTGGTGGCTTGCAAGGGCTTATAGAGCATCAGCAGGTAGTCAAGCATGTTAATAGCGGTATTTTCCTGTATTCAATACCAAAAAGTTGCTATTTGTTAGTTGAATATTTAAAAAAGAGAATGATGAAAGTAGGAGTGGTGACTTATAAAATGGCCATTAATATGTTCCATCCAATTATTGGGGATAATGAGAAATCCTTTTTGGATAGGTTTGATGATTTATTTTCTAAGTGCAAAGGTTTACATGGTAATTGCATTTTCCAGGAAGCTCAACTTACAAGTGGAAAGGGTATTATGAACTTGCACTCAAGAGGATCCCCATTCCTAATCTTAACTCATTTAATTTCACTCAAGACGAGTTTCCTCATATCAGAATCTTCACTCTGTTCTGGTGGCGGAGCTTCCCGAGCATTTCCATGTCGGCCCAAAATTCACGGAGGCCCTAGAAGGCATCTCAATCGAGTTTCTTGATGGCAACGGTGACGCTGTTGGAGAGAGTGACCTTGTAGACGAGTCAGAAGCTGCCGTCACCAATTATGAGATCCGATGAGAAGTTCTTGGTAACGGCGGCCAACTCGGGCATGGAGATCTGGTGGAGAGACAGGTCGAAGCTGGTGCTATCGTAGATCGAGAGAAAGGTGAGATCGGGAGAGTTTGTGGTTGGGCGGGTAGGGACGATCGAATGGTTTGGGTGGTAGCTGCTGGGTGGTTTCCTGGATTTGCAGAGGAGGAAAAAAATAGCAAAGAGTAAAGTCAAAGGGTGAGAGATGATGTGGCAAGGGTAGAACCCACAAGGCACGGGTGGCAAAAAAAAGATTAAAAAAAGGCCTAAACTTGTGACCGTTTGCACTTAAATGGTGAATAAACAGTGTCGTTAGCTTAATTGAACAGAGGGACGACAATAATATGTTTTTGCAGTGTAGAGGGAGGACAGGTGAAGTTAACTAATAGTAGAGGGAGGACATGAGGGAAATGGATAGTAGAAGGTTTAAATTGCACTATTTTTGATAGTAGAGGGATGATAGATGGTATTAACTCGAAAAAAAATTCCAAAAATATAAGAATCCATTTATAAATTAAATAACCACAACAGTAAATCATACCTCACCATACAAAATATGTTAACCTATAAAATTCAAAATGAAATAAGTTAGTTATTAAAATTACCTTAATTTTAGTAATTTTACAACATAATATATAAACCCCAAGGGAAGTTTAAGGGAAAATATCAAATATACTTGCCAAATTAACCTTGAATCCTACAAAACAAATCAGTAGTTAAAATAATAATAATAATAATAATAATAATAACATTAGAAAGGTATTACCAATGACATCTTAGTTCAAATAAAAGGAATTCAGTTTTTTTTAAATGAATTCTCAAATTCGAGTCTTATGAATAGAAAAATAGACGCTTGTAATTGCACCAAACCAGAAGTCCTTCTTCAGTCTGCGCTTTCACTTCGAGATGACCTGCAAAGCCCCGAGGTGGAACTAGGGGTAGACACTCCGATGCTTAAGTCAGCAATAATCGGGGCTACCTTTAGGGCGGAGATGAAAAGAGCTTAGGGTTGGTTTCAATTACCTTTCTGAGGTGGCCCATGGGGGTATTTATAGGCCTTTGCGAGGTATCCACGTGGCTTGCTTAGCAGGACAATCGGAGCCTGACGTGTCTATCCAGATGATTATTTCGGGATCGGGAATTTGAGAGGTATTCAGATGCACGGATGTCCACCATACTTATTGTGCCACTTTTCATAAGGAATCAGGTGCGGGCATGCTTATTGTCATTGTCATGCAGCTATTTGAGCAGGGAGCTTTGGATTCACTTCTCACTTCGGTCATAAAGGAATTACTGTAGCAGTCCGAGGCTTGGCACCTCGGACCTGTCCTTACACTATTCCCCCCCCCCAAAGTCATTCACTTGTGAATGATGTGGCTTGGGATAATGAGAGGAGTGCATGAACAAAGGAATTACGGATAAGTCATGGAAGTATAAGGAAGAAAGCTGTAATTTAAATTTAGACATAGCCGTAGCTAATAATGAAATACATAACAGTGGGTCATACTGGGGTGCCTTAAATGGAATATGACCGAAACTATCACGGCCGTGGTCGTGGTGAAAATAATGACCGGAGTCATAATGTAAAAGATGATGATCGAAGTTATAATGGGGCCAGGGTCATGATAAAAATGATAACTGGAGTTACAAAGGCCAAGGCCGTGATGAAAAGTGATGATCGGAGTCATAATGGGCGGAGCTGTAATAAAATATAATGACCGGAGTCATAAGGGCCGGAGCCGAAGTAGAGTATGTGACATGTGGTCGCAGTAACCAGGACCGAAGTAGAACATGTCTCTGTGGTCGGAGCCGAAGTAAAACACTTTGCCCATCAAAAAGTGTAATTGTAAAAGTAAGCAGGAGTGCTGAGCTGGGCTTAAAATATGATGACCGGAGTCATAATGGCTGGAGGTATAATAAAATATAATGACCGGAGTCATAATGGCCGTAGCCGAAATAAAATGTGTAATACTGGGTCACTGTGACCGAAGCCGATGTGAAATGTAATGCAGCATTATTGTGGCCGGAGCTGAAGTGAAACACTTGACAAAATTGAGAAAAGTAAAGAAAGGTGTTGAAATGGTCGTGAGTGGGTTCGTTCTGGAAAATCTGACAAAGGGGTAACACGTGGTGTGACAGTTGTCCTTGAAATGACGTGCGCAATAAATGCGGCCGTAAAAAGATAACTGCGATAGTTAAA